AACTCTGTCGTAACACACGACGAATAGCTTTTCGCAGCGCTTCAATAGTATCATTTACTGGCAAGACAAGTCGGATGTCGAGCAAACACTGGCGAATCGTTGGACGAGTTCATTTAACTTACAATTGATTGATGTCTTAGACATGTAATATAGGTTGCAGGCAGATTCAACGTTGAATTGTTTGGACTCGTCAAGCTGACATAGAAGATAACACGCAACTCAATGTTGAAGCTGTCTGTTCAACTTGGCGATTGTGGAAGCCCCGGTAAATGCAAACGAACAAGTTATACACAAATGTAGACGGACGAGCTATACACCAATGCAGACGAACGAGTTGCAGACAACTCTGCTTGTCGGCGCTTGCAGACAGGTCGCCATACGTAGGTATATCAATATTATAGATAGCTGCCGAACAACAGAATGAGAAGGGTGCAGCTCGATCGAACACGAAGAGGACTTCGATGAGCGGCCATTTTTTTTAGTAAGTTGCTATTGCTAATACGGGTAGCCTTAAACTAGAGTACTCGGGTCATTCTCGCTTGCACCGCGAGTCTGCAATGATACTCCGCCGCACTGACAGGCTGATGACGTCCGTGTGTTGTAACGTACGCTTTCGAATGTAACAATATCACCAGGGAAATCAGATCACTCTTCCCTGTGGTAGTGGTCGGTGATACAGAAGTTCTGTCAGAACCTCTCGTTAAACGCTAGCGCACCTGGCGTCACACACAGCCGCCCACGAGGTGCACATGAGAATAGATATCCGGATGCCCCTGTCGACGAAATTCAACACCTCAGCGACCTGATTTAGCTGCACCATAGAGACTTCGAGACGTCAATAAACTTCGAAGCTTTCGCATCCTCCTTCATTCGGTACTCAGACATGATAGCTTCATTCTTTTCGTATGAGGGATCGGTGGATGGATTCGATCCATGATGGCACATCAGTTGTCCGCGACAGTCTCTCATGACTCAGCTGGCTTTTGCGCGCATGGTTCTCTTCAAACGAACTGTGGGGCCAAGACTTTCGGTTTAGCTTTGTCTGGGGCTTGCACTTCCGCCAAAGAAAAACAAAAATTTGCCGCAGCGCGATATCATCTCATTATATTTTTTAATTAAAAGAGTTCGTCAACCGCGAGCTTGAATCAATCAAGCTGCATGCAACCTGGAGGCTGCAGTGCAACGTGATGCGCCGCGGTACCTGAGCCTGATACTCACCAGCTGGAGGTCATTCGTTCACGGTGATTACACAACGTTGTACAACTCTAGAGATGTGCCTCGGAGCAACAGAATCAAGACATCATCTTTTTTTTGCGAAATACAACGGCTGCATGAGGCTTGTGTTTGCAAGACCCACGTCGACGACTGCGAGGGAAAGGCATCATCTTTGGCGGGCTGGAGTCGCGATCCGCGTGATTAATTTTGATTAAAAAGATTTTAATACATGCGCGATGACACATATTAATACCAGAAGCTATTAACAAATATACATTAACGTCTTGTCTGCGTCTTAAGAATTCCCCTTTCCTTAGCTTCGTCGCTGTATGATCCCTCTCAGTCGTCGACGTGGGTCTTGCGAACACAAGCCTCATGCAGCCGTTGTATTTCGCAAAAAAAAAAACAAACAAACAAACAAAAACGAATGAAAGATAAAACCGTGCTGATTTGTGTTGGTTGGCACGAATTCAAGTCCGTTGCTCCAGTCTCATCCTCACGTGGTGCCCACATCCTTGCAAATCCAATTTATAAAGCGCAGTACCTCAATCTTTGTCACTATGTCTGCGGGCAACACGCCCATCAACGCTTTCCGGAAGTCAACTTGGTACTGCAGCGACTCTACAAGACCTTTGGTCAACAAGGTCGCGTAGAGCTGCTGCAAGCTCAGTCCATTCCGCAATTTTCCTGCTCAAGCACTTGTCAATCAAAAAAGATGGCGACAACACTCCACGGCCCCGGTGGTCCTGCTAAAGGCGATCTACCCGGCCGACTATCTTTCGTGAGCGGCACCTCGCAACCCAAGGACCTTGAGGATGCCAACCATTACACGACGGTGAAGACACCCGACCCGGCGAATATCGAGGGTGGAGCTCTTCGTGAAGGCGAAACCCCCGATCTCAAGAGCAAGGACAGTCTTGGTCTTCTGGTCCAGTATGCTGTCGTCGGTCTCAACTATGGTGTGCTGCCGGCCACGATTTACCCGTTCCTGCAGAACTTCCTGAACGCGACGGGTACTCAAGTGACTACGGCTCAAACGCTGGTGGTGCTACCGTGGAGTTTCAAGTGCTTCTACGGTATCCTGTCGGACTGCGTGCCGCTGTGGGGATTCCGTCGTCGTCCGTGGATGGTGATCGGGTGGATCATTTGCCTGCTGGCTTTGCTCATCATGGCCTGCATGCCCGAGGGAGACCCGTACTACACGGTGTCGTCCGACCGCGACATCAAACCGGCCGACTATACGCCCGAGGTTGAGGAGCGTATCAACTTCGACGCGAACTCGCAGGCTGGCAAGTACGTCATGCTCATGTTCCTCGCTGCCGTGGGCTATGTACTATCGGACGTGTGCGCCGACAGTATCGTGGTGGACTTTGCACAGCGTGAACCGCTCGAAACCCGAGGCAAGACCCAGTCGGCTATTTACGTTGTTCGTACAGTTTTCGTCATCGTGGGCCAGCTTCTAACTGGTTTCTGCTTCAACGGAGAGGAATATGGCGGAGAATTCGACTTTTCGATCACGTTCCCGCAGCTCATGATCATTCTCACTTGTCTAACGGCACCGGTTATTCCTATGACCTGGTTCTTCATCAAGGAGGAGAAGAAGCCTCGTGTAAATTTCACAAACTACATGAAGGAGCTCTGGGAGCTGATCCAGAAGCGCGCTATGTATCAAGTTATCTTCTTCAACTTTTTCCAAGGTATGTTCTCCGCTATCTCGTACACTGCCAGCTCCCCTGTGCAGTCGTACATGGTTGGTGTCACGCCGATTAACAGCACACTGAGCGAGATCTTCGGTAACCTGCTGTTCATGGCTGGTATCATGGTGACTTCAAGGTGGGGTCTGCACTGGAGCTGGCGCTGGATGATCGTGTTCACGGGTGTATTTGTGATGATTGTGGACGGTGTCACGACTTTCATCACTGTATGGGATGTCTTCCGTAGCCAGTGGTTCTGGCTGGGACTGCCTGTGGCGGTGCAGCTCCCCTACGGTGTGGGTTGGATGATCTCTAACTTCGTCATCGTCGAGCTGTCGGGTATTGGCAATGAGGGTGTCGTGTACGGTCTGATCACGATGGTTTCCAACCTGTCGTCGCCGTTTGCTACAGCCATGACGCTGGTGATCGACCAGCCGTTTGATTTGACCACGGAGCGTATCCAGGAGGACGACCAGTCCATCCGTACGGACATCACGTACGCCGTGATCATCATGTACGGCATGACGGCCTTCTCGTGGGTCTTCCTGGTTTTCCTGCCTCGTCAGAAGGAAGAGACGCAGGAACTACTGCGCACGGGCGGCAGCAGTAAGCTGTTGGGAGCGCTCACGGTGGCATACCTCACGTTCGCGTTTGTGTGGTCGCTAATGACCAACATCATGGCCATGTTTGACAGCACCTCGTGTCTGATCATCGCTGGCGGCAGTGGCTGCTAAGAAAACGTTTTTTCGTTTGCTCGTAGTATTCTTACTTCCTCTTTTTTTAATCTCAAATACTACTACTGATGTACTACGAAACGTTAAATATGTATTACTTTTGGTAATACATTCTAGTATTATATATTTTACTACCATTCAATTCTAACTTGGCGCCAGCATTGCAAAGCATAGCGCTTGGAGCTGAGAGTAAACGCGTTTTTGGGGGTGTACGGGGCCGGTGGCAGTGGTGGCACAGCTTAGTCTCCTTTTAGGTGACAACGTTGGGCGGAGATTACACAACGTTGCATGGCTCCGGAGATGTGCCTCGGAGCAGCAGACGAAACTCGGTCACGACATCGTGCTTCACTTTTGCCGGGCCGTAAGTCGGGAACAGCGCTGATTAATGACATGAATCGGAACCCGAATAAACAAGGTGTATCCGATATATGCGAGTTCATGGTAAAATGTCCAGCAACTGGGTCTCGATTTCCTTGTCGACGTCTTCGCCGGCGGACGACCAGCATAGTCTCCGTTGCAGAACTTACATCTGTCGATGAGCTTTCGCGATCGTCGACGGGGACCTTCCAGACGTGGACCTCCAAGCTGAGCTGGAGCCCAGCTCATCCCCGGTGAATGACGCGCGTTACTCCGGTTGCAGTGGTTGGCCAATTCACCACGACGGACTCGTTCCTGCGCAGCCGATCCGTCCGAGTTTCAATCTCCCTTTAGACTAGACTCCTACCCGATCGTTTGCAGCAAGGCATTTCACACTCCAAATGTTGAGCAAGCTTAGCGCGTTGCTCTTACCCGCGGTGCTGTGCCGAGTCTTGTTCATTATTCATTCTGCCGTGTGCTGCTCAAGCAACCCGGTTGTATCTCCTGATCGCAACGATGGCAACCACGCACCACGCTGCCGGCGCGACGCCTAGCAAGCTGGACATCCCGACGCGACTATCGTATGTGAGCGGCACCTCGCAAACGCCCAAGGACCTGGGTGATGGTTATACCGGCGTCAAGACACCCGACCCGACCGACATTGAGGGTGGCGCACTGCGTGAAGGCGGCATGCCCGTACTCACCAGCAAGGAGAACATCGGTCTTCTGGCACAGTACGCCGCCGTCGGTATGGTGTACGGCATGCTACCTGCCACCATCTACCCGTTCCTGCAGCAGTATCTCAACTGTACCGGTGCCCAGGTGACTACTGCGTCCACGCTGGTTGTGTTCCCGTGGAGCTTCAAGTGTTTCTACGGCATCCTTTCGGACTGTTTCCCGATTTTTGGCTACCGTCGCCGGCCGTACATGCTTCTCGGTTGGGGTATCTGTCTGGTCATGTTGGTTATCATGGCGTGTATGCCTGCCGGCAAGCCGTACTACACCGTGCCGTCTGACCGAGATATCTCGCCGGAAGACTACACACCTGAGATTGTAGCTCGTATCAACTACGACGCATCATCGCAGGGCGCCAAGTACGTTATCCTCATGTTCTTCGCTGCGTTCGGCTATGTGATGGCCGACGTGTGCGCGGACAGTATCGTCGTAGATCTCGCTCAGCGCGAACCCCTGGAGAAGCGTGGCAAGACGCAGTCGTGCATCTACACGGTACGCACGATATTCGTGATTATCGGCGAGATTATCACGGGCTTCGCGTTCAACGGCGAAGAGTACGGCGGCGATTTCGACTTCTCGTTGACGTTCCCACAACTGATGGCTATCATGGCGGTCTGCACGGCCCTTGTCCTCCCAGCGACATGGTTCTTCATTAAGGAGGAGAAACAGCCCAAACCCAACTTCCGGGAATACATGAAGGCGCTCTGGGACCTCATCTGTACGCGCGCGATGTACCAGGTGATCGCGTACAACTTCTTCTCCAACATTTTCTCGGGTATTTCATACACGGCCAGCTCGCCAGTTCAGTCGTACATGGTTGGCGTGACCCCGATCAACAGTACCATCAGTGATATCCTTGGCAACCTCCTCTTCATGTTCGGCATCATGATCACGTCCAAGTGGGGACTGCACTGGAGCTGGCGCGGCATGATCGTGTTCACCGGTTGCTTCGTGATGGCTATCGACGGCATCTGTACGTTCATAACCATTTGGGACGTGTTCCGCAGTCAGTGGTTCTGGCTGGGCCTCCCGATCGCCGTACAGGTTCCGTACGGTGTTGGCTGGATGATCTCCAACTTTGTGATCGTGGAACTGTCCGGTATCGGCAACGAAGGCGCCGTGTACGGCCTCATCACTGCCACCCACAATGTGGCGTCTCCGTTTGCCACGACACTCACGCTGGTGATCGACCAGCCGTTCAATCTCAGCAACGAGCGTATCCAAGTGGACGACCACTCTATCCGCGCCGACATCACATATTCTGTTATCATTATGTACGCCATGACGGCATTCTCGTGGGTGTTCTTGGTTTTATTACCGAGACAGAAGGAAGCAACGCAGGAGCTAGTGCGCACGGGCGGATCGAACAAGCTCATCGGCGGCATCACCGTGTTCTACCTCGTGTTCGCGCTCATATGGTCCGTCATGACAAACATCATGGCCATGTTCGACAGCACCTCGTGCCTCGTGATTGCCGGCGGCGACGGCTGCTAAATGTCGTTGATTAAAAACTGTCTCGTAATGATCGACTTCTTTAACATCTAATTGAACTTTTACTGTCCAAATTTCGGCTTACTGACAAGAGACACCAGTCGCTTCAACTGCTGTACAACATCACCAGCATATCGAGATAAACCTTCGAGCAAAAGGAACCCCGTTCCAGGTGCATGTTCTCAGCGAAATCATTCCAGCGTGCATTGTTGGCAACAACAATTTGTTACGGAGACCTCTGGAGATGCGCTGCAATTTGATGTGCAATGCGTGGGATCCGGTAGAAAAACACTCGATCGATGTGTCCGGCTCTGTAGGGATTAGCTTCGGCGACAAGGGAGATGGAGTTTCTCGTCTACAGAATTTTGAAGCGCGTCGCCATTTGCGTTTGAAGGATACAGTATCAGCATGCATCCATTTCATAACTTGACGGTCGTTGATTCCGACGAGCTCCACTCTCGTCGAGAATCTCAATTCCACAAAAGTTCTCTCATCGCATAGAGCACTTTAAAGTCACGCTGAGATCGCTGGTATTACCCAACGCAATGTAGAACTGTGTAAGAAAAAGAACGCGTGAGCCCGGCCAGCTTCAGCCGTGAGAGCGGCCAGCTGCAGACGAAAGCATCTCCCTGTAGTCGACCTTAAGCCTGTCACCGACCTTGTGCCTGTCAGTGCATGCAAACCTGTAGACGAGTTTTGCCAGGGGCAAATTGCCACTTACAGGATGTGAGCGATTCTTTTCATTTTCCAATTTCCAAGATCGGCCTCAAGTCCCCCACTAGTTTGTAACCAAGAAGGCGATCCATTATGCCGGGTGTATCAACTACCGGCGGCACGGGCCCCATTGTCGGTGACCTGGATATCCCCAAACGGCTGTCGTACGTGAGCGGCACGTCGCAACCCAAGGACCTCGAGGAAGGAAGCTACACCGGTGTGAAGACACCCGATGCGTCCGGTGTTGGCGAGTACGAAGGCGGTGCGCTGCGTCCCGGTGGCATGCCCAACCTCATGAGCAAGGAACATCTTGGTCTGCTGTTTGAGTATGCCACCGTCGGTCTGGTGTATGGTCTGCTGCCTGAAACCATCTACCCGTTCATGCAGCAGTACCTCAACTGTTCCGGATCCCAAGTTGCGGCCGCCAAGCAACTGGTTGTGTTACCCTGGAGTTTCAAGGTCTTCTACGGCATCCTGTCCGATTGCCGTCCGATCTTCGGATACCGTCGCCGCCCCTACATGCTCATCGGCTGGACGATCTGTATCATCATGCTTCTCGTCATGGCCATCATGCCTATCGGCAAGCCATACTACACGGTCGCGTCGGACCGTGACGTCGCCGTCGCTGACTACACGGACGAGATCAGGGCCCGTATTAACTACGACGCTCCGTCGGAAGGCGCCAAGTATGTCATCATCATGTTCTTCGCAGCGTTCGGCTACGTTATGGCGGACGTGTGTGCCGATAGTATTACGGTTGAGCTGGCGCAGCGTGAGCCGATTGATAAACGTGGCAAAACGCAGTCGTGCATCTACACGGTTCGCACCGTCATGGTCATTTTCGGTGAACTGTTGACTGGTTTCTTCTTCAACGGCGAAGAATACGGCGGCGACTTCGACTTCTCATTGAGTTTTCCACAGTTGATGATCATCGTGACGGTACTGTCCTTGCCGGTGCTGCCTATGACTTGGTACTTCATCAAGGAAGAAAAAGTGGAGCGTGCCGACTTCAAGGAGTACATTTCTGGCTTCTGGAATCTGCTCTGCTGCCGTGCCGTGTACCAGGTTATCGCGTACAACTTCTTCGCTAATATCTTCGCAGACTTTACTTACACGGCCAGCACGCCCGTCGCGTCGTACATGGTGGACGTGACACCGATCAACAGTACGGTCAGTGATATCCTCAGCAACTTGTTGTTCATGTTCGGCATCATGATCACGTCCAAGTGGGGTCTGCACTGGAACTGGCGCTGGATGATTGTCTGTACGGCAGCGACGGTCATTGTAGCTGACTGCGCCGTTGCGATGATTGTTGTGTGGGACATATTCCGCAACCAGTGGTTTTGGCTCGGTCCTCCCATTGTGGTGCAGCTCCCGTACGGCGTCGGGTGGATCATTTCCACGTTCGTGACGGTGGAGCTCGCACAGCTGGGCAACGAAGCTGCAGTCTACGGTTTGATCACCACGGTGACTAACGTCGCTGCACCGTTCGCCACGTCGCTGACGTTGCTGGTGGACGGCCCGTTCAACATCACCAACGACCGCGTCAAGGAGGACGACCACTCCGTCCGCATGGACATCACGTACACGATCATCATCATGTACGCCGCCATGGTGTTCGCCTGGGTGTTCCTGTTTCTACTGCCAAAGCAGAAGGAAGACGCGCAGCGGATTTTGCGCGAGGGAGGCAAAAGCAAAATCTTGGGCGGAGTCACGGTCGCTTACTTGACCTTCGCTATCATTTGGTCTATTTTAACCAACGTCTTGGCTATTTTCGACAGTACGTCGTGCCTGATTATCGCTGGCGGCACCGGTTGCTAAGGCGCACAGCAGAACGTAGCGACGCAGTTGTGCTCTCGTCTAGCAGGACTCCGTTGCAACCAGAATTGCTTGTACATTTCAATAAAAATCTGTAGCTTTTGGCTCTCGTCGCTGTGTAGCATACAGTTACCTGTGAGTTTCACGGTCACGGTTGCAAATCGTTTGCGTTTGTGTCATGGGTGGGTGCGCCGGGCGCCGCCGCTGGTGTGCGTCGTGCTTGAAATCGTCAGAAAAGGGGGCGAAGGTCTCCAAAGTCTCTCGTTCGCCTGCCCTCTCGACACGCGTGTTGCACCGCCGCCTCGTTTCTTGCGGCCTGTCATCGTGGTCCCGACACAAGAATTCGTCCGCCGCGACCGGATGCCCATCATGATTCCTTTCGCCCGCTGGTTCTTCGTCTGCTCTGCGTGCGGCCACGAAGCGACTTGGCAAGCTTGTCCATGCAGCGCTTTAATCCCCGTCCGCACCGCGGACTGTGGGCGGTCAGGCACTCTTCGTTTCGCCTGCTTCCTGACAAGACCTCCGGACAACACGAGCAAACATGCCCGTGAACGGTCCTAGCATCAACGACCTGGACGCACGGCTGTCCATCAGTAGCGCCACGTCCAAGGCCAAGGATATCGAGGAAGGCGGCTACACCGGCATCAAGACGCCCGATACCAGGCCTGACGAGAAGGTTGGCGAGTATGAAGGCGGTGCGCTGCGTCCCGGTGGCATGCCCAACCTGTTGAGCAGCGGCAGTATCGGTCTGCTGTTCCAGTATGCCGTCGTCGGTCTGGTGTATGGTCTGCTGCCTGAAACCATCTACCCGTTCATGCAGCAGTACTTGAACTGTTCCGGGTCCCAAGTCGCGGCCGCCAAGCAACTGGTTATATTGCCCTGGAGTTTCAAGGTCTTCTACGGCATCCTGTCCGATTGCCGTCCGATCTTCGGATACCGTCGCCGCCCCTACATGCTCATCGGTTGGACGATCTGCATCGCTATGCTTCTCATCATGGCCATCATGCCTATCGGCAAGCCATACTACACGGTCGCGTCGGACCGTGACGTCGCCGTCGCTGACTACACGGACGAGATCAGGGCCCGTATTAACTACGACGCTCCGTCGGAAGGCGCCAAGTACGTTATCATTATGCTGTTCGCGGCCTGCGGCTACGTTCTGTCGGACGTGTGCGCCGACAGTATCACGTGCGAATTGGCTCAGCAAGAACCCATTGACAAGCGTGGTAAGACGCAGTCGGCCATTTACGTCGTGCGTACGGCTCTCGTGATCTTCGGAGAACTCCTGACAGGATTCTGCTTTAATGGCGAGGACTACGGCGGCGACTTCAACTTCTCGCTAAGCTTCCCGCAGCTCATGATTATCGTGACGGTACTGTCCTTGCCGGTCCTGCCCATGACCTGGTACTTTATCCACGAAGAGAAGTCTGAGCCCGCCAACTTCCGTCAGTACATCAACGACTTCTGGGACTTGATGTGCTCCCGCGCCGTGTACCAGGTTATCGCATACAACTTCTTCGCTGGTATCTTCAACACCATCACGTACACGGCCAGCTCCCCGGTCGCCTCGTACATGGTGGACGTCACCCCAATCAACAGTACGGTTAGTGATATCCTCAGTAACCTGCTGTTCATGGCCGGTATCATGATCACATCCAAGTGGGGACTGCACTGGAACTGGCGCTGGATGATCCTGGCTACGGGTGCGGTGGTTATCGTTGTCGACTGTGCCGTCGCGATGATGGTCGTCTGGGACGTGTTCCGTAACCAGTGGTTCTGGCTGGGCCCTCCTATCGTCGTGCAGCTCCCGTACGGCGTCGGCTGGATCATCTCGACGTACGTCGTGGTGGAACTGGCTCAAGTCGGCAACGAGGCCGCAGTGTACGGCTTGATCACGACCGTGAGCAACGTGGCACAGCCGTTCGCCACGTCGTTGACGCTTCTGATGGACGGCCCGTTCGACATCACCAACGACCGCGTCAAGGAGGACGACCACTCTGTCCGCATGGACATCACGTACACCATCATCATCATGTACTCGTGCATGGCCTTCTCGTGGGTCTTCCTGTACTGGTTGCCCAAGCAAAAGGAGGAGACCCAGGAGCTGCTCCGGAAGGGTGGACACAGCAAGCTTATCGGTGGCATCACGGTCTTCTACCTGGTTTTCGCGATCATCTGGTCCATCATGACCAACATCATGGCCATCTTTGACAGCACCTCGTGCTTGATCATCGCCGGCGGCACCGGTTGCTAAGAAACTACACGTAGCGAAGCCGGTCGGATGAAGACCGCGCTTGGAGAATTGTCTTTTCGTCTCGATAGTAATGAAAAGTGTTGATAAATTCACTGCCTAATACTGCTTCGAAGTGTGTACTTCTTGTTAAATTCGCTGCAACTTTGCATGACTAGAATCTGATGGTTATCGTGGACGATACCTGGGATATATTATCATGGAATCACATTAGCTGACTCGTAGCTCGTCATCACGACCTATGCACGGATTTTCATTCAGCTTTTCTGATTCGATTGCCAAACTCCCGGCACAAACACGCCTCGATTCTTTAGAATACAGCAGCAGATAAGTTGGCCATACCATATTCTTTCACCTGCGAAGAACATTCGGAACTCAACAGGTCGCTTGCTGTGGTCTATTTTGACCAGTTCTACAGCGAGTTGTGTTGTGCTTTTTGAGTATAACGCTTTTCGTGGCTTATCAGTGGTAGATACTACGGATATGTAAACTGCCCGACGGAATGCTCAAGTTGAAGTGATCAAAAGACGTTTCGAAACTTTAGGTTTAATGTTGTTGTACCCCCAACTCCGCCATTTCGTTACGGGCAAGCGTATGTACATGTACACCAAGACCATTGCACATGTGCCAGTTATCGGTGAGTCCGAGCGATGCGTTTCCTATAGAGTGCTGATGTGCAAGCATCAGCAATGCTTCAAGGTTGAGCTCAAAATCCGGTATCAGCAGAAGATGATCAACCAGCATGCAGGTGATGCTGGTTTTTGCGCGTGCCGTCTTGATGGTGCTTCGGCGGCGTATCCTATTGTGCTTGGCTGAGATTGGCGTCATCATGTTCATACAATGCTGTGCCTTGTGCCGGGGGTTCTGACTCAAATTCACTCGTCGCACGGTGCCGTTCAGTTCTCAGTTTACGTCGGTCTACTCAAGTCAACACCAGCCAGCTCCCTTACCGCAGTCTTCATGCCTGTCGCCAGTGCCGACGTCGACGTCCCGAAACGATTGTCGTTCTTAAGCGGTTCGCAGACGAAAGACTTTGAAGACGGCTATGTCCCTGTCAAGACGCCCCAGCTAGAAGACGGAGCTCTTCGCGAAGGGGGGATGCCCGTGCTCACCAGCAAGGAGAATGCCGGTCTTCTCTTCCAATACGCCGTCGTCGGTCTCGTGTACGGCCTTCTACCGGAGACCATCTACCCGTTCATGCAGAACTATCTCAATTGTTCCGGAGCGCAGGTGACGGCAGCCAGCCAACTTGTCGTACTACCCTGGAGCTTCAAAGTGTTCTACGGCATCCTATCAGACTGTCGACCGATTTGTGGTTACCGTCGTCGTCCGTACATGTTGATTGGTTGGGGCCTCTGCTTCCTTATGCTGTTGA